GCACACATGCTTTCGGCACGTGAGGACAAAAAGGTTAGCCATCACTTGAGTCAGACATGACTGGACTAGGGAAGCCAAATATCTATAAACAATGCAGTTTTTTTCTGATCAATTCTAATTATGATTTTTGCAAAAAACATGGTCTTTTGACTTATAGAAACCATTAGAAAGCTGAAAGGGCAAAACACCAGATAAAACAAGCTTCCCTGTCCTTAAAGCCCATTTACATCTACTGGATCTACTTTTCATATCCAAGTTAATGTTCTTTAATATGTTAGTTGAAGTTCCTTTATTTAAAGTTATTAAGGTCTTTTGTTGGTGTTGTGTGGGTGAAAATTAAATTTGTGCCTAATATTTAAATTTGGAGGTGTTCAGCGGTGCATCCTGTAAAATCCGAAAACGAGTACAGAGGCTCTTGAAATAATAACAGCGACAATGGTGATTATCTGATCAAAGACCCTATATATGAGATTTGTTCTTTTCATTTCGCTCTTCCTTTTCTTGTAGCTCTATTACCAAGTTTTAAATTTTGCCATGATCGTGTCTTCGGCCCTAATGATATGGAAAGGCCTTATTGTTATCACCGGGAGCGAGAGTCCAATTGTAGTTGTGCTCAGGTACGTCTCTTTATGAAGAATTTGTTTTCTGGGGTAGTTTTGTCTCCTTCCTGTCCCAAATTGGGAACAGGGAAAGAGAGAGTGACTGGGAGATTGTGATTTTTATAACCCGCATTGCTTTAGTATGTCCCCTTGTTTTTAGTAAATTCCATCCAGGATAAGATGATGATTGTGTCAATTGTAAAAACCCTTCTCTTCTCCTTTTCTAGTGGTAGTATGGAACCAGCTTTCCACAGAGGAGACCTCTTGTTCTTGACAAATTTCCGAGATGACCCCATCAGGGCCGGAGAAATAGTGGTTTTCAAAGTCGAAGGAAGAGATATCCCAATCGTGCACAGAGTGATCAAAGTTCACGAAAAGTAATGGAGGTCACACAAAATACAGTCGATAAAAACAGTTTAGAGAAAGGGCCTGTGTTGGGTAGCGGAGGGTTTTCAGAGTTGGATTCCAATTAGTGGGTGGCGTTAAGATGAAGAAATGAGCAGAATCAGGACAAAAATGAATTCTTCGTTTAGTTTAGGTAACTCTGGGTGGCTTACAATATTAAAAAAAATAAAACTACGGGAATAAAATACTACAAAAATACTAAAAATGCAAAATACACTAGCTAAAAGATGGGAAGGAGTAGGATGAGCAAGGGTAGGACGCAGGATCTGATGTTAATCTATCAGCCACCTCCGACATGAAACTCCTTCTTTGGAGTCCCAAGCCAACTGGCAGAGTTACCGTATTTTTCGGAGTATAAGACGCACCTTTTTCCCTCAAAAAAGAGTGTGTCTTATACACTGAATATAGCATTTTTTGCCTCCCGAAACCCCGCCCCTTCACCAAAATAACCACGCCCCCTTCACAGTGCATAGCTTTTAGGAGGCTTTCAGAGAGCTCCTGGGGGCTGGGGAGGGTAGAAATGAGCAAAAGACGGGCCGTTTTTTGCTCAATTTTGCCCCCACCCCAGGAGAGCTTTATAAGCTGCCTAAAGGCTATCTAT